TATAATTAGTAAAGTATGTGTATATATTTAACGTCAGCATGATTAAAAAAAAATAAGGTTTTATAAATAACCTACACTGGATAGAAAGTAGTTTTCATTCAAAATGTTGCAAAGCCTTGTGGCTCACACTGTCAAAAAGTTATCTCGTATCATCAAATTTTCGGGATGTAATCCCAAAAACCAGCTTATTTAATTTCATTTTTCTTCAAGCATAACTATTACACATAGCTGTGAGCCGAGCCACATGTTTTGAAAAAGATGCTTGGGAAGTAAGGGTTTGTAGGGTTCGGGAGTATAATTCCAATCTTGGATCTACGAGATCTAATATATATTTTACATCTTATAACTATTGAAAAAATATTTACAATCGGAATCGGCGCAAAAGAAGATTTTCTGTGCGCCATATTATTGAAACACTTTCAAATTGTGGTAAAATGTTCTGTTTGTTTTATTTTGACGTTACAAAACTAAATACCTGTCTATTCCAGAAATTAGAAACAGTATAACTAAAAACTATTCTAATTATTCTAGTAAATTCTGTTTATTTGAAACTAGCTGCTTTCTCGCAACTTTATCAAATCGGTTCATAGTTTCTGAATCTATTCAATGTAACAAAAAACCGCACGAATAATAGCGATAAAATTATAAAATAGTCAACTTCAATAAAAAAAAAATATTTGGGGATTCTTTCGCTTGTTCATTCAGAAAAAGTGTAAGAATAAGTATCGTAATACGATAGAAATTTCTGTCTTAGGTAAAACGCTTGAGATTCCAAAGGCACAATTCCACCCAGAAACGAAGGGAAACGTTCCCGGAATGATGAATGGTATGTGCGTCAGAGAAAATATATTTCTCGGAGACGCGATACCCGCTGAGATACAAAGTATGTCGAGATTTTAGATGTGATATATCCGGGGCATGAATGGACATGTAATTTTCAACTCTTTATGACCCTGACAAATAATGAATGATTTAAGTTGATAACTTTCCAATCAGAATTGGTTAAAATTCGATTTTCTATTAAATTGTCGTATTTGTTAGTTAGTCTATGTCAAATATTACCAGTTTTTAACCTAATTCCCAGTTTTTGCATGCTTAAATAACTTGTATGACAATTTAATTAATAATTATATTGAAAGGAGCTGTGGGCTAATTGTTTAATTTTAAAATCTAAAGCAATCTCTTTCAACTTGACATTTGAGAGATATTAACGAACCTCACATACTCTACAACTATTTGACATGTGATAACAATGAGAAAGTATTTAAAAAAATCATTAATTCCCGATATCAAACTAGATGTCACTACGGTACTTTCTTGATTTCTCCATGACAACCCTTCCGGTTTTCTATCATGTATAAAAGTAAATTAACTTTCAAAACTCAACAAACAACTCTTTCTATTTATAATTTTTCGTATTTGTATTGATATCTAAGTTTCGACCTTTGCAAATTTCAGCTTCTTAATATGTTAGTTAAAAGTAACGGAAATGACTATCTTTGGTCCATTCGTTTCCTGCAAAAATCAACTTTTGGCAGAGTCGCCATCTAGTGAGGTGCTTTTGAGTGCTTTCTTATTTTTTTCTTGACAGACTTCCTTATTGACGACGTTTCTTTCAAAAATATTGTTAATTTAACAATAACAAGCGTTGGATGGACGCAAAAGTGTTTGAAAATTATTGAAAATGTAAAAATTTGGTTGAATGCTTATTGCAATATTTTGACGGGTTCATCATCATTCGTTTTTAAAGCTGTTGCGACGTTAAACGTTATAAAAACGTCCATAAACCGCTATATCTTTGAAAGAGAATACGATAGACTTTGAAGATAGACATTAGCCCATTGACATGATGATGATTTGATTATTATACTGTGTTGTCCATGTCCATAAGACATTTGTAAACAAAGCAACGAACTCATTTGATTTGTTTAAACAAGATATCTCGTTCTACACGGGTGACATCTTTAGAGGGTAAAGATCTATAATAAAACTGTTCTTTAATCATTTCAAAATTTATATGAGCCAGTCCCATGTACCAAAGACAAATTAATAAGTTAATTAGATCTTTTTTTCAACAGTTCTATAAATATACCAAGATATAATGCCACTTTCAGCTCAGTTTAGTTTGTCGGACGATACGTTCATAGTTTCACGATGACATTAAAGATTCATTTATTTACTAGCAGCTTATAAATGAGAGGTGTTGAATAGAAATGGGGATGGGAGAAAGATGGATGACTTGCCACAATGCGAGACCAAAGTAGGGTAACCATCTGTGTAATCTGTACACTAGTACAAGTGGAACTTCTGTATTAGTTTACAGATATTACAGGGTAAAATTAACTTGTTGTATGTAGATATAATAGATATACTAAAATAACTAGTCATTATTTTCAAAAAATAGAATGGAACAAAAATAGATTTTTCCGCGGCATGGCGTGAAAATAACTAGATAACAGAATTAAACTTATTATATTTTAGCAAACAGAAGTGTAACTATATTTCTTTGTTGCATCTTTATTATAGAATAATGTTAAAAGAATGTGGTGTATTGAGGTTTCGGCATCGATGTCAACATTATCTATATTAGTATGTCTATCACAAAGTGTCGACCAGTAAGCTTGTATTAAGTTGTAGATACAATTATCCTCTTCAAGTCGCTTTTCTCGTTGCTCAGGATCGTAATATAATAATAATAATAAGTAACAGACAACATCTTATATAACAAAATGAGTAGCTAAAGCCGTCGTATGATAAGAGTCCCTTACGGATTCTAAAACCATGGCCACACACAAACACATGAGAACTGTTACAAGCCAGACATATGACGGTCGATGATGTGGCAAATGATGATACAGCACGTTTTAACACCACTGTTCTCTTATAAAAACAACGACGTCGAGCTCAGCACTGAAATAGGATAGAGGTTCAATAAAAAAACCTACTTCGAAAAGTAATAAAGATTTTATTCCATTGAAGTTCTATTCTGGCACAGCGCTGTGCTCGAAGTCGAATTCAATGCTGTTTCTCCCTCGACGCAAAAGGGTGTTTTTAATGGGTAGCATATTTAGTCAAGACTCTTTTGAGATATATTTTCTTTATTTATAAGATATTTGAAAAGAATAAAATAAAACCCCTAGCCCACTTAAACTACAAACATCCTAAAGTATAAAAATAATCTTATTTTAGCCAGTATAGCTGTACCTAAAACGAGAAACTCCCTGAATACCCAAACTAGAACACAACCGGTAAGATAAGGACGGATGACCTGGAATGGAACGGGAAGCTTAGGTCAAAACTACACGAGGGAATTACGAGTATCGTAAATGTATACGATCCAACCAAGCTAAGAATAGCATTACGAAAAATTTTCTTTACATAAGAGCAAAATTATGGAAACAAGCTTCTTCGCCAACGTGCTGCTGTTGTCATACTTAATATTATAAGAGGAAAGATTTGATTTGTTTGCATCAAACGTGCTCCGAAAACATTGGGACGATTTAAAAACTCTTTCACATACGGGAACCCACATCATACGCGGTTGACATAGGATATAGTTTAAGCTGGCGCTAAAAAAAGGTGCCAAGGGTGAGTCAGACTTTCGAACCTAAGAGTTTAAAAACGTAATAAAATGTCGGAATTATCGCGGAAAATACCTTCCGCAGTCAAAACAAATTCGCAGCAATATATTAAATAAGTAACAATAGACCTTATTCCGTTGTAACAAGCAACAAAACAATAGATCGCTTGACTGCTTTCCAGCCGACCTAGCGTTTAATATTTATTTAGCGAGCAATCACACCAACCGTAATAAATTCCTGTTTTACCACAATGTCTCGTTCGCACATAGCTAACTTACTCGTATGAAAAGCATTATAAATATATACGGAATTTTTTGAGGTTCGGCTGTTATCAGCAGATTAATTTATTAATAAGTAAACAATGTAGTTTTCATTATTTACTGTTTTATGTTTCTTGTCTAAATTGAATGTTATTTATAAATATTGTTTTTACAAAAATAAATACTTTAGGTCCAAATTAATAAATCATCATCAGAACCTTTTAACGGCTTCACTGCAGGGGCCTCCACTCTACACGCTTGCCCAATGCGGATTGGAGAGTATTAACGACTGCAAATGAAGTCAAGACCAAAGGCGAGATACGGCGAGCCGCGGCGCCCTTATTTATAAATTAGCTAAATGAATAAATAAAAAGTTTGATAAAGTCAATTTATTAAGATAATATCAAAGAATTTCGAACGGAATAATTATCTACTTATCTGTTTCTTAATTCCAAATTGACGACCTCTGTAGCCGTCTACAGACGCAGGTTCGCTTCCTGGTCAAGTAATATAGAAAATTATTATTTTCTATATTGTTAATAATACAAGTATTTAGTTAACTTATCTTGGAATCTGAGCAATGTATGACGTGATGTCTAATTTTTAAGATCTTTTCAAGGTTAACAGAGAGAACTGAACGCACTGAACCGTCTCTGTGTGTGATTTAGTTACCCTTATCTTCCATGTCCTTCCACTTACAACGCGATAATTATCGTCTGGTATTGTTTCCACGTGTTCATTTGGACTAACGAATGTGTCTATGACATTTATTAAACGGACACTATCTTGTGAGGGCATTTTTAAAGTTTAAATAATAATTTTGGTTGCTAAGTCACTTCATAGTATAAAACAAAGTCGCTTTCTCTGTTTCTATATCCCTGTGTATGCTTAAATATTTATAACTACGCAACGGATTTTGATGCGGTTTTTTTTCATAGATAGGGTAATTCAAAAGGAAGGTTTTTATGTATAATACGCGGGCGAAGCCGCTGGCGGATAATAAGTAGGGCAAAAGCTTCACATGAATTATGTCTCTATGTATCACCTCCTGTATTAGCAAATAAATTATTTGATTTGAATCAACTTCAATTTTTACAAAGTGGAAATATAATATAATTTGTATTGATAATATTTAAAATTAAAATATAATTTTACTCACCGTACGCAAGAATGAAACATCATCTTGTTCGCTCGCTCCCCCCTCCGCTTCCGCCATCTTGGTATCCGGTTAGTTGCCTCAACTAACAGAAATTATTAACGAGGAAACATTCCTCTTGAAATGCATAACTGTAACAAAGAAAAAATACAATTAAAAATTTTATATAGAGAGAATGTTATAAATTATTATAGATAAGTATTATTAATTTTGTCATATGTCTTTGTGCCGCCTTACATATTATCAACGGTTTGTTCTCCGGTTGACTGGGAAAGAATGCTTAAAAGCATTAACCTCCGTTTTCACTAACCTAGAATAAGGCATAGCTTAACAAGGAAACGCCTAATCTTACGAATCGCCTAAGCTTATTAGTTAATTTCAAATAAATATTTTTTTATTTTATTACTTGACATATTTATGACCTGTCATAAAACGCAAATACCTAGCGCAAGGCGCCACATACTGCATATCATAACTTTAGACATTGCTTAATTTCGTTAGATGGTTCCTAGTCAATGGTGAAATACATTTTTACCTTAGGCGATTCCTAAATATTAAAGTGACAAATTTGGGCGACTCCTAAGTTTAGTGGAAACGGGCATAAGTCTTCCATTTTTACAATTTTACGCACAATAGTTTAAATTTAAATGTATTTAATGTGTTCAAAATATTATCTTAAGGCAGGATTCGATCCCGTTGATTTCGATCGTACATTTTACAATGACGTCAGCAGTCGCCATTCCCTGTCCTTGTGACATTCACACTACATTTACAGTCGAATAGTGTTTAAAATTTAAAACCTTATAACGCGACATCGACATACTAGGTACATGTTCTCAGGTACTCTAAGTAAGTACGTCACAGTTTTACATATAGAACATTTCTATGTATAGTTCTTCAATGCTAACCACAGACATTTTGTGAAAATTGATAGCCAAGTTTAATGTATCTAATCTCATTATAGTATTATCGGCTCCACCGACAAAAGTATTGATATGTAAATTGGTGCCAAGTTCATTATACAACCCTGAAATTTATTTATTTATAAGATTTATAAAATAATTAACATTTTACAGTAAAATAAAGCTAACAACTTAATAGCTACAGAATATCAAACTTTGCCTTGGCTTTTTACTAGAAAATCAAATATTTATTAAACACTAGCTGACCCGACAGACTTCGTCCTGTCAAAAAGATTTGTAATGTGGCAGTTTTTTTGCCTACGTATTTAAAAAAATTCTCCTGAACAGAACCGTCACCCTGGTGATAGGGCGTTGTGAATAAAAAATAATTAAATAAAACATATATAAGGATTTAAAAGTAAGTAATCGCTTTATTGTTAATCATGTGAATCATAATTATTATTGCAATGTATTAATAGTAATAGTATTAAATATAGAAAAAAGAGATTTTTATGATCATAAAAACACATTACACACAACAGCATTATAAAAGTAAACTATTCAAATTAAAAAAATATATAAACATTCTCAAGGAAAAATGCTGGAAGAATCCATCTACCTGTACCCCGGAATGGGACTCGAACCCATTCGCGATCCAGGGACTGCTCTAACCAATGAGCTATTTAGGACCCAACAGCTTTGCTACTACAGAGCGTATTTTCATCAATGTTCCGGCAATACATGTAATGACGTGGAAACTGATGCATTTTATCTCGCGTGCCGAAACTAATACAAAAGAAACGCGAGTTTCGGAACACGACATTAAACTCCTCCAACTATGTATTCTGTGCTCCAACGCACACACGCACATTGTTTTGATAGATATGATCTTTGACGTTAGGAACACACCTACATTGCTTAGACAACAGTGAGTGCTTGTAATTTAATATGAACTTTATACCATAGCAATAAAGCTCAAATTGACTACGTTTTAGTTACAAATCATTTGTATGGGAAAAAGAAAAGGGCTATTTTTAGGGTTTTTCCAGCAATAATTCTAATTTTTCTCGCCGTAAAAACCATCCTTGAACTTCAACGAACATTTTAAAAAAAGATTTGGCCAAATTGGTCGGGGCGTTGTTGAGTTATGCGCTTACCAACACATTTTGCGATTCATTTTTATATATATAGATAATCTATTAGGTATTTGAACTACAAGTAAAATGCGCGGTTACGTAAATGGTGATTTTTTTTTGCGCAAGTCCAGTTTGGGATTGTAGGGCAGTATTTGGCAAATTGTTAATTTTTTTGTTATTAAAATAACACTAGTGATGTACAAAATTTTAATACAAAAAATAAAATAAAATTTGCAGTGCCTGTCACTAAATTGCAAAAAGTTAATAACTTATTCAGGGGGCTTTGCGTGCGCTTCTACAATAAGGTCCCAAGCAAAATACAAAAAATAGATATAATGCAGATTAAATCTACTATTTTAAAAAAATACTTTTTAAAAAAGCTTATTATAAGGTATCCGATTATATAACAGATAGGAATGCTTGGACTTATGATGGTCCAGCAACTGGATAGGTGATTTCTTCTAAACTCATACATATAAAAAAATATAATGTTTCCATTATTATTAAATTAATATGTTAGTATTATAAGACCATAGTTTTTTTCTCTCTCTATTTATATTGATCTGGTAATGACATGGTTTTTTGAATGTCATTACTCCTATTAGAACTGGTGAGTTTCTTGCTCGTTCTTCTTATCAGCCAAAAGACATCCTGAACGAGTGGTAGGGAAAAAAATGTTGGACGACTCAAAAGTACTTTTAAGAAGTCTATTTGAATAGAGATTATTTTGACTTGACTTTAGATTCAAATAAAATTCTGATGAGACCATCTCGGGTCATAAAAAGAATTTTAAAATCCGTGAATTAGGTGCCTACATAAAAAAGATACAACGCCGTCTAACATAGGAACTCCTCTTTTTCGATTTTAAAATTAGTTAAAAAAATATAAGTAAAAATTTGGTAGACATGAAATAGCTATATCACTCTGTTAATTACGATATGTTTAATTTGACAAAAAGCTTTTAATCTTAGTTCAGCGATGCAAGCGAGTAATTCTGATAATGGCGTGACTCACGAATATTATTGTGCTAATGAATATGCAACAATCTCTTTGCTGTTACATCTAAAATATTGTTTTATTATCAAAACAGTGTATAAAGGAAATATCGTTTTTTCGTCAAAATATTACGTAATGTATAATATTTTTATTTATTCAATACGTTATGCATATTTAAAGTACAATGGCGTACTAAATAATAACGTTAATAAGGCTAGAGGAAATTTTCGCATTTAATATGAAAATTCTAGACAGTTTTACATTCGCTTTTAATATTTTATAATGTGAACGTCAATGCCACCAGAAATTTTCCAAGAAAAATGTTGGTAATATGGTGTCATATTACCAACATTTTTCTTGGAAAATTTCTGGTGGCATTGACATATGACTCGCAGTGTCAAAAACTTTTCCTTATGAAAAGCTATTTACTCGACATATCTTAACGTATAGTTAAGGCATGCAACCAACTTTACAAACTCTACGCCTTTGTTAAAACATGTGGCTTGACCGTTCACTAATGTACTGCTCAATACTGCGTTGTTATTTGCTGGGTGCGAACTAATAGTGCGGGTTAAAGTATGAAATTATCGATTTGTACTGAAAATCAAAATTGTTTATTTTTTAATTAAAATATTTTTTTTTAATAAAATAGTTACCATTATTACCTATAAGTTGCTACCTAATATGAAGGTCATTTATGCCTTTTTGATAGAACTCTGAGCATCTAGACTGCACAAACTGTGTGAAAGCATTTTGTACTGCCTCCTGGGAAGAAAACTTCTTGTTCACGTAGATAACTGTCCAAATCACGAAAAAATGGTACTTCGTCGGTTGGAGCAAGGTCTGGCGAATAAGGAGGATGACGAATGTTTTCTAACTGCAGTTCTTGAAGGGTCTAAATGGTACTCGTGCTGTATGAGATCTCGCGTTGTCATGGAGCAATAATGGTGAAGATCTGTTCATAAGGCGGAGCTGTTTTACTGCTAGTTTTGCCAACATTGTTCGGAGTTCGGCACAATAGACATCTGCTGTCATTGCTTGACCAGATCGAAGAACTATAGTGAATAACACCATGCTGAGACCACCAAACAGTTACCATTACCTTTTTATTGGTAAGTTTTGCTTTAGAACACTGTTGTGGCATTTGACCTGAGGTCAGCCATTGCATTTTTATTTTACGGTTATCATAAAGAATCCACTTTTCAACGTTGTGATGAAGTTAGAAAAATGGGACTGGATGTTGTGGCACCTTTATTGTTTCAGATTTTTGTGCTAGAAATGCTAAATGCTGCTTATTTGTTGTGTAGTTTAAAAGATCTCAGCGTACAGTCAACTTACTATGTATGGACTTCATCAACCTTCAACACAATAGCCGAGTGATAGAACTCTGACCCAAAACCTGTGTACGACCATGGCATGCTACAAAGTCAGTATTTCTAACGGAATAGTGCGTTCCACTTGTACTGCTACACAGTGACGAAACGGATCGCATAGAGTAAGTCTCAAAACAAAGGTGTAAAAATAGTACTTGACACATTGACTGCATGGTAGGTTTCCACAATATGTGAAAATTCTGCTAGAATTTTAAATTTCTGCATTTAAAATGGAGTGGGAAAATTTGACTGATTTGTATAGTCTGATGTGCTGTTGACTGTATTTACTAACACGCAGGTAACAGTTTTTTACACTTTGATGCCCCAGAACATTCTCAGTTCGTTATAATAATCACGAAATTTTATTTATGTATGATTAATCAGATTTTCGTGCTCGATACCTATTACAAAACAAATTTATTAGGATTAAATTATTTTCGCGATTCTGTTTTGGTCAATTTGATTCTTATGAGTCTGTTATCGAATATCGAGTCAGCAGAACGATTCCGTGAAAATCCGAACATGAATTCGAATTCACTTCGAAAGCGAATCCGCTTAAGTCAAATAAGTGTAGAAATCGTTTAGATTCCACTTTTTTAATACAAAACAAAATTGAATGATTCATACGTGTCTCAGATATTCTATTCTTATGATATTTCGAAACTTTCCCACGAAACGTTCAACGTTAAGCGGATGTCGCTTTAGAAATGAATTTGCACACCTG